TAAGAAGGTATAGTTCGATAAACGTAAGCCGATCCACTTGCTTTAATATAAAAGTATGTAAGAAATGCGTTGCCATGATTTCTCCGATTTTAGAAAACTGCATTCATCATATTTAACTATTCTCATCGTATTCTTATCGTTAAATTACTTAACTGTTATCTATGTCACATATGTTTATTACTTATTGCAAAATAAACTATTTGCACTATAAAGTACAAATATAAATTGCGAGGTTTTTAAATAGTTTGTTAGGATTAATTTTACATATAATGTAAAATGCATTTATAGATAATATTATTTTCTAAAATTGTATTATAAATTTGTAATATATTTTATTTTATAAAATAAAAATCAACAGAATTTATTATTAAGTACATGTATGTTATATGTATTTCTTGGATTTAGCATACACAATATTATATGCATATTCAATAAAATAAAACATTTATTTGCAGGAACGTATGTCCATATATAAAAAAATAATTGAGTATTTATCAGCGCGATGTTGTAATTGCGCTATCAATGAAGGTATAATTAACGATTTATCTCTTACAAAACTATGTCGCGAATATGCAGTGACTCGACTAAAACACATTGAATCGCGATCAATGTCTGTTTCGTATATAAAAATAAAAGAAGAATCGATTACGAAGAGTTTCGTCATTATTCTTGCACAACATATCTCAGCATTCGGCGACATTCTTCCGAATATTTTTCTGAATCTTTCTTAAGAAGTACAACGCCACTTCCAACTTGCTTTCTTCATTGCAAATTGCGAACATCAATTATTTATGGCAGTGAACTGCAATTGACGCACAGCGCACGCTACGTCACCGACAAATGCAAAATGCATTCGCGCAACGTATAAGAAGAGAACATTTACAATTAACATTTAGAGGTGACATTTAAGAACGAAATTTTTTTGTGTTTCTCGTTTTGTGATTTCTTCGATTTCTAATGATACGAATCCTGAATTTCGTACACCCGACTTCAAACATAGGATTAACGATAGAGTCGACTTAGATTCATAATCGCTTCGCTTCCATTACATTTCAATTATCCGATTGATAACGATTTCTGGGGTCAGTACGCACGAATTGCAGGCGGAACATGCTGAGCCTCACTTTCGTCTAGAGTCGTATCAATAACAGGCCGATAAGAGATGAAAATCTGTAAACAGCCGTTAAAAATTGCAATTGTTTGAAATGATTAATTATATCAACAGAATACAACTTCAGCTAGAATACATACATCTCCAATAAAACATGATAAATCAAATGAATGATTTTTTTTTTTACTATAATAAAAGGCACTCGACAAGTTTGTTTAAAAGCATACGTTGTTCATGGAATATTTATTAATAATCGTATTTCTTATACGATAAAATGCTGAAATTTTCTTGCTCTTTAAATCTCCGAATGACTTTATCTTATTAACTAAATTTCTGATTAAGCTATTTTTAATATTTTAACTAACTAGTCCATTATTCTGAGCCCATGTAAGCGTATGTTTACGCCAGTGTTCCGAGTAAGGTCGTTTCTTTTGTCCCTCAAGCGGTTTTGCATAGTCATACTCATCGATTCTGTCCTAGAAATGAAAAAAATATTTACAAGAATTAGTCATATGTTATAATTAACAGCGTATCTATTAATTTAAACAATTTTAAGTTTCGACAACGTTAAGCATAATTTGTGTATCCATTTAAATACTTCTGTTATTTAAATATATCTGTTATTTGATAATTTTTAATCTATTTACCTTATAATCGTCCCTGGCGTGTGAGCCCCTCGACTCCTTTCGATTTTCGGCCGCATATACGATATGCATGCAAACGAGCATCATGTTTTGCAGCTCCAAGGCCTCGGTGAGCTCGGTGTTCCAAATGAGGGACTGATCTTGCACCTAAAAAAATATTCGAAAGCGATCCACATGTGTGTTTGGATCTAGATAAAGTGTCTCGCATATCTCATCGTCTTATGCAACATCGCGTCGTTACGCCATCGACCGCGACGTAGCGGTGCCATTATATCGCGTAATTATTGCAAGTTATTGTCAATTTGGTACTGATATTGCACATCGAGATATTGTTGTAAATTGCAAAAATTTGTGAGTAAGTGATACTCATAAAGAAGACAACTATTCGCGGATCTGAAATCATTTCATGGATTTAGAACAAAAAAAGAAGATTTTAATATATATATTCCATTTTAATATGTAATCATAATAATAATTATTCATACTAGTAATTATTTATTTCGTCATAATTTTTTTATCAAAATATTATATTGTTGATTCATAATTTTATGCGCGTTTTATTTAATTTATATTTTAAATTTCTAAATTTATTCTTTTAAAATAATTTTATAATTTTCAGTAGTTTTGATATGCGATGATCGATATGCTTACGCATAAATCTGGCAGATCGCAGGTGTAGAGACGAGATATTTCCCTGCATGCACGCTGCAGAATGTCGCAAGTTCTGAACACGCCGCAATATTTCTGCATCGTACGTTGCATTTCATTGCGTAGCTCGGCGACGGGAACGCAGCCTTTAGCATAACGAGTCGCGTCGAAACGGCAAAGTGACTCCTCGCCAATGTCCTGCATTCAAATCTTGTCGATATGCATTTATATGCTAATTCGTAAACCTAACTCGTAAAACACGTCGGAGTTTCCCCGATTTGGCAAATTCTCCA